ATTTACGGGAACAGATTATATAATGCAAGATGTAATGAACAGATACTCTGAAGAAGAGACGCTAAGAAACCCAATGCTAATTTTGTAGCATTATGATATAAATTCTAGCAATACTATTGTTCGCTGATTAGAATGACATTGGTCTGGTCTCTTGAGTTCAATTTCAGCATATGTAGAGAGCCTTCATCATCCTGTAATGATTTGATTAGGTCTATAATATGCAATAAGTATGTAAAGTGGGTGAAGATGGGGACAACTATTTGTAAGAAACTAGAGACAGATAGACAGTGAAGATCTCCAGTGGACTTGCTTTGAAATCTGTATTTCTTTAAATTGTTTTTTTTAACTGTTTTGTTCTGTTTTGATATGTTTAATCTTACCCTCTCTGAGATGTAAAACAAGTGTGTAGGACTGATAATCATATTACTGAGTTTTTGTTCGATCATTGAGCAGAACTGTTTGCAGTGTCACTTTTTGAATGTCATTCTAAATACTTTAATTTTGTAACCTGAACAGCTATTTCTAAGATGACATTATGTAACTTATCAACCAGCGATTTCTTACCGTTTGTTTTTCTGTAATTTTGTATTATTTCTACCCTTTTTTATCTCCATGTATTTATTGTTTCCTTTTCTTTAAATAAAAAAAAGTTTTAAAAAATTCATAACTTTAATTTTATCTGCAAAGTGTTTTTTCCCCATGTAACACAACAATTCCTAGGATCCAGGGATGAGGGATGAACATCTTAAGCAGTCATTCTGTTCTACAAAGGAGTTCCTTCGAAAGCAAACTAATACAGTACCAAAAAAAAGAAAAAAATTTGAGGAAAGACATATCCAGCAAAAACAAAACTTATATAAAGTCATAGGGATTTAAAGCCATTTGGAATAAGCATCAAATGTACAGCTGTATCAATAAAAAGACTAAGAAAATATTAAAATATTCAGAAACAGGATGCATGACAAAGATGGCATTGAAACTCAGCAGAGAGCTGGGCATGGTGGCACAATCCCTACGATTTAAGATGTCGAGGTAGCAGGATTGCAAGTTAGAAGCCAGCCTGGGAATCTCAGAGAGACTTCGCCTCAAAATTGAAAACTGTAGAACGTCTGACCAGCATACACAAGACCCTGGGTTCAATCTATAGTACCATCAAAATCTGAATTAGAAGAGAGATTATGGCCAATTTAGTAAATATATCTGGGAAGATTAACCCCTTCTATGAAAAACACATATGCACATATACTTACACATACACATACACATACAATGGTCCCTTACAATGGTCTAACTTAAAATTTTTCAGCTTTACAATGATGTAGAAGCAATACACATTTAGTAGCATTCATACTTAGAATATCGATCTTTATCTGGTCCAGCAGTGCTCTGTGATGCTCCTCCTCTGTGATTCTGGGCAGTTGCAGTGACTGGCATCACCCAGGCAGCCACCTGACCATGAAGATAAACGCTGCAACTCTCCAGTGTACCACATTGTTAAGATACGATGTTCCGTAGGTCAAGTGCATGAAGCGCATTTTTACTTTATGATATTTTCAATTTATAATGCATTTATCAGAAGGTAACTCCACCATAGTTAGAGGTACATCTTAGATATAGATCAATCAATAAATAAGATCACTTATCAATAGATGGATAATAGATGACAAACCAATTAAAAGGATATCCTTAAGATATTTAGAAGAAAATGTGACATAACATTAAGGAAGGAAGCCAGAAACAATGAAGCAAAGGTAGTAAACTTGCACTCTAGAGGAGACTGAGGTAGGAAGATTGAGAATCTGAGTCCCGCCTGGGTAATTTAGGGACTTAGCAGGACCCTGTCTCAATTAAAAAGGGGAGCAGGGACACAGCTGAGTGCAAAGGCCCTGTATTCAACCCCCAATATTCCTCCACCAAAATGAGAATACACAAAGAGTTATTACATAAAACACAAAAGCAGAAACAGTAAGAGAAAGATTGATACATTTCACCACAGTAAAAATTTTAGTTTAAACTGTATCATAAAAGACATCATTGATGGAAGGTTTTTGAAACTCTCTCCTTGCAGAATATGTATGAATACATTAAATACCATCTGACAAATACATCGATCATAAGCATGCAAAACAACTGATAGAAAAGTGAGCGAAATGTTATGAACAGGCAATTCACAAAAGAGAAAAATGAGTTAACCAAAAAGTAATTTATTCCACCGCACTGTTTTCAGGGAAAAACATTAAAATAATGAGATACCTTGACATCTATGTTTACCGCTGAAAAAAAAATTAAGTCTAAATTTTGACGTGTGTGTAAAGATACAGAGAAACCACATTTGTCTAAATAGTGTGTAAATTGTGCAACAGCTTGAGTTACGTATGCTCTTGCAATGAATTCTCTGTGATTTCAATATAAACATGAGCCACAAAGTGGGGAAAAGTGACTAAAGAGGCTAACTGACCACTACGGAATGGTTTCTATGCTGTGATGTTTTTCTCTGGAAGGAAGCTGTAAAGCATTCAAGGATTCCCAGCAGGGAAGTGGGGTGTCAGGTGTAGAGACACGCAGGTTGCACAGATACACAGATTACTCTGGAAGCAAAATGGACGGTGGACCAGAGCAGGCACCTGGAGATACCAGTTAGGATGCTGTGGCTGTGTCACACCTTCGTTCAGATGGAGAAAAGGTGGTGCACACAGAGGAAATGAAACGTGCAGTCCACAGGACTAGGTCGTGGGTAAAGCATGAAGGATAAAGAAGAGGAAGGCCGTGAAAGTCTCCGGCATGCACAGCAGTGAGAATAAGCAATGCACCGGAGCAATCGCCCGCTCCAGGAGGAGATTCCGACAGGCAGAATGATGGCTTCAGAAGGGCCTCTTGTGATCTGTTGTGTCTACAAGTCTGAAATTCAGCCAGAAAGCCCAGATGACAGATTTTCCTCTAGCGATCACTGGGTTGATGATGGAGTCTGCAGCACTGTTCATGGGGAAGGTCACCTCTGCAGAGTGATGGGAATAAAAGAAGCCTGAGAACAGAATCCGAAAGATGGGCAAAGGAAGAGGAATCTGAAAAGGAGAAATTAGTGTCACAGAGGAAAAACAAGGGACAGGGAATTTTAAAGATAGGGTGTATCCACCAGACGCAAATACTGCAGAGACAGCACAGGCCAAGAGCTACCACTCAGTGTACCGACCTGTTTCGTTTCAGTGGAAGAGGGAAGGGCCGGTAGAGGTGAACCTTGTCTTAGTGGGAAGCAGAAAAAACAGTTCTCTTAGTGAGAACCACAGTCTTTTAATGAGGTGATCTGCTAAGAATGAAAACAGACACTGGCTGAGCTCCTGGAGAAGACGGCTTCCTGCCGATCATGAAGGCCACCACTCAGGGCCTGCCAGGGGGGATCACTAATATTTCAGTAGCAGCAGGACTAGGTCTTGGGCTGTGCTTGCCTTGGGGTGTGCTTGCGTGTGCGAATGTGCCAACTGTTCACCCCACCAAGGCTGCACAGGGTTTTAAACAAGTGGAAAGTTGAATGACTGGTTGAAATCTCTTTGAGATAGTAATACTTAAGTGAGGTAAGAGGGCAAATACTAGCATACTTTTAGTGGCCTTGGGCATGGGACTCAGTCTCTCCTGTTTTATTTATAAAATGAAACTAAAAATAGTGGCTGCCTCAGTTGATTTTTAGAATTAAATGAGATAATTCAGTGTTTCTCGCATTTTTTTTTCTTTTATTGGTACTGGGGATCAAACTCACGATCATGCAGTTGCAAGGCAGGCACTTATGCCGCTGAGCTAAAACCCCAGCCCCAACTTCTCACATTTTTTAAATGTGACCTTCAAGGGAAAAAAAAATGTAGAAATAAATATATAAATTTGACCATCTATAAGAAATACATATTTTTTTTTTGTCTTTTTCATTGTTATCGGTACCGGGGATCGAACTCATGACCACCTGCTTGCAAGACAGGTGCTTATGCTGCTGAGCTAAATCCCCAGCCCCAGAAATACATATTTCTATGAGCAGGGTATATGTTATTGTGACAATTAAGTGAGTTACTATAAGTCCACAATGTCATCACCAAAATGTTTAAGGAATTATGTAATTTTAAATTCAGGATTTAGGGATTTTAGGAAGTTAATATAGTATTATAAAATACATATTATATAATGCCTTATCAGATATGGAAAAAAATCAAACATTAATCTTTCCTTAGAAAAGCATGCATATTCATACAAACTATGAACAAGGGCTATAAATATCTTGGCTTCAGTTCATATTTTCCTGCAAATATGTTTAAAAATTGGGTGGGGGACCCAGAACTTCTTGGATTTTGCAACTGTGGATAAAACTTACAGAGAGACAGACATACAGGAATACATAAAAATAAAAGGATGCAGGTATATTTTCAATTACTTGATACATAAGTATTATTGGCTAATATTGTTGGTATAGGTAGACATTGTTTTTAAGATGGTTGGTCCTGACCCATCAGAGTGATTTCATGTCTTTTGAATGAATTGTGAACCACCCTATGAAGAATACAGACATACAAATGATTAGCCTGAACCCTAGAACATACTAAGCTCTCAAGTTAGAACAAGTTAGAAAGTAAAAAAAAAAAAAAAAAAATCATTTTATATTTGCATAAGAATTAAACTAGCTACTAGTTACCTTCACATTTTTATCAGAAATAAATTAAGTGGGCTTGTGTTGAACAGCAGAAAATTTAAGACATTATAATTATAATTTCATTTGGACATTTATGTCCTGATACATAGAGCACCTTTTAGGTTTTATTTTATGTGAAATAGACAACTTTATTGCACCAGAAAAGAGACTGAACTGGGTCAAGGCATTTGTCTTTGGTTACAAAGTATATGATGTCCATGTCTAATAGACAATGTAGTTTAGGGGCAACTTACAAAGTATATTTATTATTTAGTTCTTAAAGTGAGTCAAACATGTTCCAGTCACTTCACAATCTTTGTGTTCTATTTTCTAGTGCTCTAGCAGACATTAAAATAGCTGAAGTGGATGTCAAGGGCTTGTTTGTGAAGCTCACCAACTCTTCTCCTGACAAAGAAGTGGAGATTGGGAATTGTAGCCTCCAACAAAACGTGAAAGGGCAGGCACTGTCTCTGTACCGATTCCCCCCAAATGTCGTGATGCAGGCCGATTCCACAGTAACGGTGAGCGTGAGATGCAAATACTGTGAGCTTAAACCACAGTGGACAGACTCCACGACACTGTCACCTGTGGGACTGGCACCAGGAGTCTCTCTCACCTGCTCTGCCAATAACGTGATCTCACTGATGGCGGGGGTGGTGGTGAATGGGGCCACTTAATCTCTCTTCCGGATGCAAATTAATACCAAAAATCAAATTTCCGCTGCATTTTTCCATTTAGTGTACAATATCTTTTGTTTTTATCATTTAACCATTTAAATGGGTTCCCTACACTCAAATTAAGCAAGCATGTCCTTATAAGTCAAAGAGATTATTTGCTCAGAGCACAGGGAATTAGTTGACCCTAGAGGATCCCCATTTCTTTTTAATCCCCCTTAAATCAGATTTTTGCCATAGCTATTTGGTGTTGTATAACTTGGCAGTATACGTTCTAGTCTTTATATTTTGGAGCCCCTCTGAAGTTGGACATGGTGGCACACACCTATAGCCCCAGTTACTCGGAAAGCAGAGGCAGGAGGATCTCTTGTGCTCAGAGATTCAGCGTGCCATTAGACAGCAGGCCTCTTTAAACCTCATCTGTTTAGAAAGACCAAGATGGCATAACACTGTGTGACATTTCCAGACTATGTTGACTTCCGTGGCATTGTGTTACTAACAAATTCTTTTCTTGTAGGTGTGGGCAGGAGCGTCCAACGGAAAGCACCAGCCACCATCTGATTTTCTCTGGAAGGAACAAAACATGTTTAGAACAAGTCCAAACTGCACAACAATCCTGTGCAGACCTAACGGTGAGGTTAGTGTCTGGTTTGTCGCAACATCTCTAACAGAGTAATAGTCCCTGTGTTCCTTTTCCCCCCATCCTTAAAAGCTTGGGTGGCATCATCACTAAAGGGCAGAACACATCAGGCAGACCAACACCTCCCAGTGTCAGCGTCCCCAGGAGCTGATTACAGATGGGCAAAAGTAATTCTGGTAACTTGTTATGTCTAGGAAGTTGCTTCAAAGTCAAGGATAGATTTTATTTACATACTTAGCCTGAAAAGGAGGATGAGGAAGAATTGTTTATAGAGATTCTTTATCCTTGGGTCTATCTTACACACTGCGAATATAAAATAAAGATGCGGTATCTGCTCCCAAGAGATAGATTCCAGTAAAAGAGTTTACGGTCTTGATTTTAAATGACTGCACTTTATTCTCTCTAAAACTGACTGTGTATCGGCCTGGGTGTGGCGGTGCTGCTTGTGATCTCAGCCAGTCAGAAGGAGGGGGTCACAAGTTCCCCGCCAGCCCTGGCCACTTAGTGAGACCCGATATCAAAATTTTAAAAAGCAGGGCTCAGGGTGTAGATCAGCACTAGAGCACTTGCTTAGCATGCACAGGACTCTGGGTTTCGTCTCCAATTCCACAAAAAAGAAAAAATAATAGTGACTGTATTAGAGATAGCTTTGGGTAACATTCCCAGTATCTGACAACTTTAGGTTCTCATTCAGCTTTTTCCATGGGATGAGAATAGCATAAATATATTCCCAAGGATACACCAGCAAGGTTTGAGAGCGTCTTTTTTTCCCTGTCTTTTGGAACCAGGAATTGAACTCAGGACATTGTGCTTGGCAGGAAGGTGCTGGGCTGCTGCTGAGCTATTTCCTCAGTCCTGGAAGTGTCTTTTTTTTTTTTTTAATAATAACAAAAAGTTACTTCTTTTTCAAAAAGTTTTTTAAAAAAATATATTTCTTATCTCCAAAACAACTTAACTGTGGTATATAACTACTAACACATCAACTATGTTGATCAGCATCAATCTTCAAGTTTCTTTCTTGCTATATTACACTTAATGCCTAGATTGACTTTCGCTTTAGAACAGACTTAGCTAATTTATTAAAAACCACTTAATATGCCCTGAGAACCGTTGCTATCCTACAGACAGAGCACTTATTAGAGTAATTGAGCAACCTTTTATCACTGAGCTTTAGATATCTTTGAGGACTCAAATGGAATGTTATGATAATTCGAATAATTTTCATTGGAGGAGAAAATAAGGTTATATAATCTAAGTTATATACTTTGTCTTATGAGAAATTACTAGCAAAACCCAGATTAAAATGAAGGCATTTGAACTCTCACTGTGTTGACCTGCTCTGGGACTACAGTTGTGGTTTTTATTTACTCTGTGCACCCTGGCAGGTGATTAGTATTGAGCCAGACAGACCAGGTCCCCGAGCTGCTGGATTGTACATTGTCATTCCCTGCAGCCCAGTGAGACTTTATGCCCCGGTCATCTCTTTCCCCAGGGATCTGAAGTACTTCAGGATCAAATCATCTCTGCAGGATGACATAAGCATAAATGATGGTGTTTGCTGATGACAGACTGACGGACTAGTTGATTGATTCATACTGAAAATAGTTACATATATTTGTTATGTGTCAGGTACAGTGGTATGTGCTAGGAAAAACAGAGGTTGGATAGATGTTGTCCACAGGAAACTGAGGGTGTTATTAGTAGAAATCACATGTAACCACCAAAAATTGCAATACGTAAAATAATAATTTAAGAGAAATATGAGTGTGACAGATGACAGCATGGTGCTTAGATCATAGATGCTGACTATGTAAATGAGAGAGTCAGGAAAAGCACTGAGAGGGAGAAATACTTGTTGTGAGCCTGAAGGTCAGAATGAGTTTGGCCAGCTGAATTTAACCTGAAAGGGATGTTGTTATCCTTCCCACCTCCATAACTCACCTCCTCTATGCCCTCCTTCTCTCTGTTCTAAGTGCCCTGGTCTCCTTTTACTTTCCAGTTCTTGACTGTTTGTGTAAGCCACAGGGCCTTTGCACATGCTCCTCATGTTCTGTAGATTGTCCTACTCCTCTTTCATCTAATAAATCCTACCCATCCTTTAAGACTTTGGCTCAAGCCTTTTATTCTGAATCACATCCCACTGGAATATCCTACCCAAGGTAAATCATTAAGTATAATTTAATTTAACTAGAAAACATTTCAACTGAACAGACTGAAATGTGACTTTAAGTCAATTTGAAACCCCAGTGTAAACACAAAGTCCTTTTATAACAAATTCATTCCCATTCTTACCTTAGTGATGCTGGACCCTGCTACCTGTGATAGATTTTCCTTGCAAAAAGAGCTACTACGTGGTAACGCATAGACAGATCAAAGCTTCATCGGAACCTTGCAATTATTTTCTAATTATATAATTTATTTACAGAAAATAACCATATCTTCCAGAAAAAATCACAGAGCTTTCTTTCTTCTGCCAGAAATAGCAGGTAGCTCAATAGATCAGAATGGGCTTGTTTCTCTTTTGTATAACACTTGTTTTTCAAGGTGGAACAAACAGAAATTATAGTATATGTCATTTTTAAAAAAGAAACCAAAAAGAAGTATGACTTAGATTACTTTTTGAGTCATCTTATCCCTGTTGTGGCAATGGTTAATATTCATCTGGGTTTTTGTTTGGCTCTCCCACGGTTAACTATGTAATTGCTATGTTCTCATCTATAAACGATTGTACAATTAGAGGTCTGTGAGTCTCTGGATTTTTAGAACAGGGCTAGAGTTTTTTGTGCATCAGTCATGCTGTTATCCCATAGGATTTGTGGCCTCTTCACTGTCAAAAACAAAACAAAGCCAACAGACGTGTTCCTATTTGTTCACGGCCTGATTCCCTAGTCTCTAGGTTTACATTCTAGTTCCAAACGTGGAGCAGACCTTTGCTATACAGTAGGAGCTCACTGAATACCTGTTTATATATGCATTTTCTTACTTGATTCTCAGTAACGTTCAAGTATTTTACAAAGGAGAAAAGTGGGATTTGAAAGTTAAATGGGCTGTTACAAGACACGTGATTGTAACATGACAAACCTATCACAAAACCATATATTTTAACTCCAAGAATGTTTCTATTGTACTACAAATAATCTACAAGGTTCTCCAAACAACATTCTAGAGACAAGGTTAAATTTTATCATGTCATCATCATGATCATCCAGTATTTTAAATCTTTACAGTGCAGGGAAAAATAAAATATTGTTCTTGCCTTGGGAAGCCCTACAATATAACTAAGAAAGACCATGGATTTAACGATCACACTGAAAAGATTATGAATTTATTTTCAGCATAAACGTCTATGTCCAAGTTATTTATAGAAAAGGATCCCTAACTGGTATCATGCAGTGGGTTTTTCATGCTGTTATTTTTGAAAGTGAATTTATGAAAATTTTTTTTTGATTTTCTCTTTTTCTGTTGCAAGCCTAGCCTCGCTGAATTAGCTACGTGTTATCTTTATGTCTATTTAATTTATTAAGCCAGCCTTAGCATGGTAATAGCATAATGTCCAAATCTCTAATGTTATGAACTGAAAGATTACAAGAACAAGTAGAATGTGAGCATATATTTTGGTGCTTAATTTTTTCATGTCAAATTAACTATATAAGTGTTATCTGAGTGTGATGGCACATGCCATGCTGGTAATCCCAGCACTCAGGAAGCTGAGGCAGGAAGATAACCATGAGTTTGAGGCCAACTTTGGTTACATAAGTTAATTCAAGGCTAGCCTGAACTCCATAGCAAGACCCTTTCTCAATAAATAAATAAATACATTAATAAATAAATAGTTTAATCTCTGTTCAGGACTTCCCTGGATAATTTTTGCATATATGCAGTAATACACACACACACACACACACACACACACACACACACACACACACACCACATATTCAGGAAGTAAATCAGAGTCCACTTCTCTTTGGTACTCACGAGTCTCCTTAACTCTCACTTAGAATTCCAGCCCGAAAAACATGTTTTTCTTCTCATTGTCGCCAGTTTTATTCCCTATTTTCTCATTCTCAAAATGTGGAAATATGAAGCATCATAAATATGTGAAATTGTAAATTAATATATTTCAACGACTTTTTCCACAGTCCTTTAATTTGACTGAATTTCCCAATACTCTTATAAAGGAATTCTCCATGACTACCCTCCTCATCTTGTATAAAAGGACAAACAGTCCAAGACAGTGGATGACTAATCCGATGAACAGCATGTAGTTGTACACTTAATTTGTAATTTTAAAACCTGGAAACTAAAGCCAGAACTTTGACTGCACCCCTCACCACGTAGCTCACTCCTGCATGCACAGTATCTACACAGCCACGCACAACCGGATTTTAAAATGTGTTATACCTTATTTTTCGCCATACACAAAAATCATCTCAAAATAGATAAAAGACCTGAATATAAGATAAGAAACTATAAGGGCTGGGGATTTAGCTCAGCGGCATAAGCGCCTGCCTTGCAAGCAGGCAGTCGTGAGTTCGATCCCTGGTACCAATAAAAAAGAAAAAGACAAAAAAAAAAAAAAAAAAAGATAAGAAACTATAACATTCCTAGAAGAGGACAGAGAGAGAAATTCCTGCATGTTGCCCCTGGCAGTAATCTTTTGGATTATGATGCCAAAAGCTCAGGTTTCAAAGCAAAAATAAATGGAACTACATCAAACTAAAAAAACTTCTGAACAGTGAAGGAAATAATTAACAAAAGAAAATGACAATCTATGGACTAGAAAAAAAATATTTGCAAACCACGTATCTGATAAGAGGTTAATACCCAAAATTCATAAATAACTTACAACTCGGCAGCACAGAGGCAAGCCATCCAACCGAAACTTGGGCAGATTACTTGGCAGATATTTCTCCTCAGAAAACAAAAATATGGTCAACAGATTTATGAAAATGTGCTCAGCTTCACTCAGGTTCTCAGCATAACCCAAATTAAAACTACTGTGAGATCCTACCTCACACCTATAAAGATAGCTATTACCTAAAGGAGATAGACAAATATTGGCAAGGTCAGGGAAACGGGAAACTTTGTTATGCTGCTGGTGGGAATGTAGAGTGGTGTAGCCATCGTGGAAAGGAGCATAAAGGCACCCAAAGAAACTAAAATCAGCACTCCCACAGGACCCAGCAAGCCTTCCAAGAAAGATGAAGCTGTCACTCAGTAAAGGCATCTGTTCTCCCATGTTCATTGAACCAACATTCATGATAGCCAAGGTATGGAAACCATCCATGTGTACATCAACAAACGGATAAAGAAATGGGCCCATAGGTACAGAGGAAAACTAGTCAGCCTTTTAAAAAATAAAGGGGGAATTTTGCCATTTGCACCACATGGATGAATCGAGGACATTATGCCTAGTGAAAAAAGCCAGACACAGAAAGAGAAATACTGCATGATTTTGTGTATTGATTGTTCTTAAAAGAGAAACGATAGTAAGATAGACAATAAAAATGTAGTTAACCAGGGGCAAAATGGGGAAAGGAAGTCAAAGAATACAAATAGATGGTTTAGATGAACAATTCCAGCGATCTAATGTAGATCGTGTTAACATTAATATTAGCTAATTAACATTACATTAGTGTTAGTTAATTTTCATATTAACATCAACATTAGTTAACATTAACTGTAGTTAATCAAATTGTATTATTTATTTTTTATTGTTGCTAAATAAGTAAATTTGTGCTGTTCTTGTCATAGCTAAAACAACTATGAGACAAATGTTAGACATAGTAATTTATTCAACTATAATAGCCATCGTATTCTTTTTATGTCTCATAACATGAAATATAAATATAAAAATTAATTTTATTTTAAAAATATAAATTCCATTGTAATAAATCTATGCCATTAAAAATATACAACTCTAGCAATATCTGATATTTATGGGTCATTTTCATTAGGCCGTTGCCTGGTACACTCCTATACACTGGAAGCAGGTGTGGGAAAAATTAGGCACCGACATCGAATTTCACAGACGGTCAGTAGTAATGCCTACCTTCCGAAAGCACATGGTTTTATGGACAACATCTGCCAGCACGATCAGTGAAGGGAAACAGGATCAAGCTAAGGAAGACACCTCAAAGTGTGACCTAAAACAGGCGCAGATTCTTCGGAGGTAAAATATGTTTTACTTTTTGTGGATTTTTTTTGTTTGTTTCCTTGGAGTCTTCTTATTAGTTAATCACTGAGCCATATGGGAATGTCTGGATGACAGATATGTGATGAATAAATAAATCTAGTCATTGTTTTAAAACAATGAATACAAAATCTAGTCATGGTTTTAAAACAATGAATAAATAAATCGTTATAATTTTTAAACAATGATGTTTTTAATAGGACCCAGATGGAAAATGTAGACATATAAAGTGAAAGGGCACTTACATACTTTTGAGCAATAAAAACTGATGGTCTTTGAGAAGTAATAATGAAGTCCTCCAGCTGCTTGCTTTTCCCTGGCATCACGGTTTGGTTTGGGGTAAGGGTGCTCAGGGGCCGTTGGAGGCTGAGGCTGCCCCAGGGCTTTAGCACAGACAGAGATGCACCCCTAGGAATTTTATCTTGGGTTAGGAGCTGGCTGTGTGAGGGGTTGAAGACAGAGAAGGGCCAAGGAAAAGAAGAAGAAAGAAGAAGAAGAAGAAGAAGAAGAAGAAGAAGAAGAAGGAGGAGGAGGAGGAGGAGGAGGAGGAGGAGGAGGAGGAGGAGGAGGAGGAGGAGGAGGAAGAGGAGGAGGAGGAGGAGGAGGGGGGGGGGAGGGGAGGGGGAGGGGGGAGGGGGAAGGACGGGGAAAGGGAGGGGAGGGGAAAGGGGAGGGGGAGGGGAAGAGAAGGAGAAACTATGATTATATATATATATATCATGTACAGGTACAAATTCTCTACAATGAATGTGATCATTATGTGCATATAAATTGTACCAATAAAATTTTTTTAAAAAGTGCTGGCTGTGGACAGGGATGCTGAATTCACTTATAGGCTATATTTTGGGTGTTACAATAAGTGTTCTGTTCACAAGATCTAGAAAAGCCATGCTGTCTCAGTTTTAAAACACGCTCCCACTTTAATCACACCTTCAATACGAAGGCCACCACATGAAATGCATTTGGGCTTCAGTGTGTAATTTTCTTTTACAGAGAAAAGGAAGCGCCACCGACCCTTTTGCCCAACCGCAGTCCGTGGTGCAGCAGTCCCTGTACCCCTGGGCATCCCTACTGCTCCCTGATTAACCACGATGGATGCACCACCCCCGGAAGCAGTTCACAGCCACAGCACGGGGCTCAGTCCCCCAGGGCTGACCAGCCTCAGGTAAGGTGAAAGGTTGCCAGCTTAGGTGCAGAGAAAGCAGTGTGTTTGTTCTTGGTAAATAATGGAAAGTATTCGTCCAGTTTCTGTAGCAAAGTTCTCAAAGCAAGTATTGTAAAGCACTCACTTACCTTTGCTCTAGTTCAGGGTCTCCCACAGTTCTTGATGAATATCTGTTGAATCAGTGAATCAAACAAACAGCGTGGCCCTCAGCAGTACCTACAGTTCCTGAAGCTCTGTGGGAAACTGTTTTGTTTTTTTATCAGGCAAGAAAAGCTGGTCCTGCAAGTTATGCTATGCTAAAAATATTCATCTTTTCCAAACACACCCCACTCTAGGGTCCAAACTCTTATTCTTTGTCAACTAGAAGTTTCTTAAATTCTACAAATTAAACTTTTAAAATTGGTAGTGTTAACCCAAGACTTGCAAAGGGATTTCCCAAAGTCCATGAACCTGTTAAAATTGTGCAAAATTATGTGCCTGTATGATTTTCCTTCCCAGAAACAGAATTGTAAGAACTTTTGTTTGATTTCTATGGCAAGAGGTGACCACTAAGAGACATGATGTGAATGATTAGTTGATGGCTGATTAGATAGAGCCATTCTTGAATCACTGGCTCGTTTCTTTGAAAGAATATGTACTAAGATTCTTCAAGGCCAAGTTGCACAGTTTTTTAATATCCAATATTTTTTAAACTGTACTTTTTAGTATTATTACCATACACTCAGTAACTGGCAAAGAAAAAAAGATACAGCAAAAATTTGCCAATTTACTCATAAGTTCTTCACCAAATTTATTCCTTTCACCAAACAATAATAAATAGGCTGGGGTTTTTTTTTTTTTTTTTCAGACACAGAATGAAGAATCATTGATGCAAAGAATAGTTGTCTTGTTTTTAACTGCCTCTCTTAAATATACTGGACAGGCAGTTAGAGACCAGCAAATAAAACAAACCTCAAAAAACACACATATGCCATATTTATACATTAACTACATTTTTTGTAAAATTATATTAAATATAAAAAATATAGGGCTAAAAATATACCTCAGTGGCATAAACACCTGCCCTGCAAGGTCCTCAGTTTGATTCCCAGCATATATATATGCATATATAAGAGAGTATATTATAAAAACCATCCATATACTAACATTCAGAGTTAATACATGTTAGCTGTCACATTTCAAAATCTATAAATTTGAAATTTCTTCTAATCATCTGATTTCAGTTTGATATTAAAGTAAGTCATCTTTTTTCTCATTTTTATACTTTAATCACATACATAAAAATTCATAAAATATGTGTAAAATAAGTCATGTGTTTTTATTTTCCTTAAGTAGCCTGATGCTAAATGTGCCTTCTCTTTTTTATGTAATAGTATAATTTGGGTAATTTCAGTACAGTTATATATGTAGTCCGAATTCAGTCACTTTAGATACTACATACTATTTCATTATATAATCTTACTATGTTTTCTCTATTTCTCTGTTAATGTTTTGCTTTGCAGCAGTGTAGGTGGAGCTTTTATATTACTACAATGCTTACACCAAAACATGTCTACTTGTGTACACATACAAAAGCTTCTTAGTTTTCATGCATTTAAAATTTGCAGCATCTATATTCTCAGCAAGACTATGCCAAGCTGCTGTAGAAAGAGTTTCACTAATTTATGTTGCTACAGACATTATAAAGGATTTCCCATTCCCATTACTCTTACCTAGTTTTATATTGCCAGAATTTTAAACTATTTGTTAACTGAGTGAATGTTAATTGTAGTTCATTACTGTTATAATGTGAAATTACTCTTTAACACATTGTCATAGTTTATATTGGTTGGCCCCAAGCCGCGTATGTTTGCATTGTACATTTGTGATTGGTTTATTGTCTAGCACTTGGATTGATGGTGTCAGGGCTACACTCACCTAGGGGTGGAGCCAGCATACAATATAATGGCTGGGAGAAGGCGTGTCTCTCACTCTCTCTTTTGCTGGTTTCTGCCTTGCTGATTGCAGCTGCCATGAACTGTGGCCCCACCATGCCACACTGCCTTGGAGCCAACTGGGTGAGGATTGCCACCTCCAAAAACTGTAAGAAATAAACCTTTCCTTTCCCAAATTTGGGCATCAGGTATTTTGTCTCAGCAATGAATAAAAAGTAACTAAGACAGAATTTGGTACCAGGAGTGGAGTAGTTTCTGTCAGTACACCTGACCATATTTTTTTTTCAAGAGACTTTGTGGGCAAGTTTGAAAAGATTCAGACATGTTACCTGGATGCATAGAGCTGGAACTGCTTAGCCTGTTCTTTAGAGTAGATTCTGGTCAGAGCTCAGGAGACCAGAAGGCTGATAGCCTGATGGTAAAGTCCAGGCTTGGGAGGTTTCTGCTGGGAAGAAGGACTGCATTGGTTGTTGGACTTTGCCCAGAGACTTTGCCCAAGACTAAAGGCAATGGACTGATTAAGCTGGCAAAGGAAATTTCAAGGTAGTCAAATGTTGAAGCTGTAACATGGCTATTGTTGGGAGCTTTTAGCCAGATTTATGTTGCAAATCAAGAGGAAAGAACCCAGCAGGATAATTTAAAATGCTGTAAGTTTGGCTAGAAGAAAAACTCCAATAAAGCTGTGGATTTTAAAGATAGAACTGAGACTTTGATTGCTGAGAAGAAACAGAGAAATAAGAAAGATAGCCATGGGGCATCCCAGGAAGCAGCAGGTCTCCATTTTTTGCAACCTCAAAACTGCAAAAGTGGAAGAATTTGCTCAGAGGGAAAAGCTACAGAGCATCATGCTCCAGAATGGCAATAGCAGCTACATGAGGTTCCAGAATGGCAGCTGCCACATAAGGTTCTGGAATAGCAGCAATATAGAGAAGCTTTTCCTTACAATCAGGTAAACAGAGCCCAGTGATCCAGGAACTAGACCCCTACAGCCAAGAGAGAAAAAAGCCTGGCTACTGCTTCAGCTGGCATCAAACCTTGGTGGCATCCACAGGGTGCTGATTTACGTGCAAGGAAAATGCACAAGTTTTGAAGGTAAGACAGTTTCCACCTCAATTGCAAAGGGCCTGAGAGGTCAAGCAGTGTGCCCTGAGAGGGCAATTTGTAAAGATGTAAGGGTGAAGCCAAAGGTGCAGTTGATAACCCAGAAATTTGGAAAAGCCAGGAATATGGATCATCCAAGGAAAGCTGAAAAAAGAAAAAAAAAAAAAAAGAAGCTGTGGGAACTGAAATCCCTGAACTTGCTATGAGAGTGTAATCACCCAAGCCTTTTGGAGCTTGCAACTAGATTTATTCAAATGCTGAACATGGAACTGTAGGACTTAATGTTTGCCCTGCTGGATGTTGGACTTGCTTTGTTTCAAATGCTTTATATTCTCCTGTTTATAACCTTTGGAATGGTAATATTTATCTTGTGTCTTTGCTTTTCAGAAATGTTTAACCTTGTTTCATTTGTTCAGAGGGTTATAGTAAGAGTTTGCCATAGATATTGGAGAAGACTTGGAACTTGGACTTCTCAGCAATGCTGAAAATGTTAGGACTTTGGCAACTCTTGGAAATGGACTAAATGTCTTTTGTATAAAGGACGTGCATGAATCTTTGGGGGCCAGGGGTGGAATGACATGGTTTATGTCTGTGGTCCCCAGGCCTCATGTGTTTGCATTGTGCATTTGTGATTGGTTCATTGTCTAGCACTTGGATTGATGATGTCAGTGCTACACCCACCTACGGGTGGAGCCAGCATACAATGTAATGAGGTAAGAAGGTGTGTCTCTCTCTCTCTTGCCTGTTCCTGTCTTGCTGTTTGCAGCCACCATGAACTGTGGCCCCGCCATGCCACCCTGCCTTGGAGCCAGCTGGGTGAGGACTGCCACCTCCAAAAACTGTAAGAAATAAACCTTTCCTTTCTCAACTTTGGGCATCAGGTATTTTGTTTCAGCAATGAGTAAAAAGTAACTAAGACACACATAATACTTCATTTTATATATAAGAACAGAAAAGTTTCCCTATGTCTTGCTAATAAATCTGTGATTTATAATTTTTAATTTTGTGTGTATGTTAAAGTACTCTAAGTTCTGTATTTTGTCAATAAACTGTTAAAGTAACTATTTACATTAGATTTTAATAAATCAAGTGTAAATCTTATAATGTAGGAAAATGAGAAAGAATACCAAGATATATTTGTGAAGCAATACATCATACTTTCATAATCAGTTAAAAATATATAACTTTTATGATATAGGCATTATTTGGTAATATCACAACATAAACAAAATGGATTTCATTATTGCAAAGTTAGTTTGAGCTTTAAAAGTTAACCAAATATCAACTTAACAAGAAAGAGGAAAATTACGTCATAATATCAGTAAATCTAGAGAGAAAGTGCTTTATAAAATTCAGTACCCTCCCATGAGGGAGAACATGTTCAAAACTAGGACAAAAAATTTTCTTAACCTGACAAATGGTATCAACAAAATTCTTAAAGCAATTTATCATACATATTACTAAAGGGTAGGAAAAGTCTTTCCTTTAAGTTCCAGAGCAAGATGAGAATTCTCCTTGTGATGACTTCTACTCAATACTGGACTAGAAATCTGAGTGCACAAAGGTAAAAACAAAAAGGCATTACTTATATCTCCTTATCACATAACTCAGTAATTTCATTCATATGAACTATTTATTCCTAACAATATATGCATGTACACATCAAAAGACTTATGTGTCACAGCAACTGTATTGTAATAGCCAAAAACTAAGCATTGTAGTTGTTTAACAAGGTAATGGATGAATTGTCACATATTTATCCTAAGCAATAAACAATGACCAAGCTACTGCTATGCCCAGTGACACCCATGAATTGTATAATCATAACATGGAGCAAAAGATACGAGACAAAAAGAATAATTCCATATATACAAAATTCAGGAACATATAATATTCAACCATGGTGTCAAGGATCAGGATAATTAGCATTTTGGGGAGGAAGAAAGGGAGCTTGGGGGATACTTAAAAAATGCTTCCAGACTACTGACAGTGTTCTGTTTACTGATCTGAATAGTGTTATAAATAAGTTCCTATTTACATCATGCCATGATTCCTGATTTGTGAGCTTTCCTGTATATATCTTATAATTAAATAAAAATTTATTTTTAAACTGTGATGACAAGAAAATAAAAATAGAAAAGAAAACACAGTTACAGCAGCAAGCACTGATTGTTTATACCCTGACAAGGAGAAAGAAACTAAAAATAATACATTGATGAACTCGGAATGAATATTATGTAATGAGTCTTATTCAGTATAGGAGAAAAATAATCGAACCATAAATTAAGCCTAAGCCTGTCATTACATTACAATATGCTGAAAATTAATTTTAATATAATTCATTGAATAGCTCAGCTGTGTCCAAGAATACCTTGTGGCAGAGATGGCTCACTGGTGTCCCCAAACCATTGTCCCTTTAAATCCAAATCTTGAGGTCCAGAGAAACTTACATGTGACCACCAAGAATAAAGAATTTTTTCTTTGCCTCTGCTTCATCTAGCAGAACCATGTGTCAGCGTTCTGGACTTGAAAGTGAACATGGATGTGTATGTAGCATCTGGTCTGAGCTCTCCTGAGCTATCTTTGTGGCGTTATGATAGTCCTAGAGCTGCTGTCTTTCAGCTCCAAGTGGCACTATATCCTGAGGACAGAAGAGCCACCTTCAGGGCCTTGTCCTGGCCCATCGCCAGGCTGTTAAATGAGGGAGAAATAGTCTTGTTTAAGCCATTGTTAAATTGGAGCATTGTGTCTGAGCCAGATGGTACACACAGCACTGCTGCCACTGAAGATTTAGTTTCATTTAATAGGGTCCTGTTGAAGATGAAAACAAACATCACAGCTAGAACAAGCTTTTTAAAGACAACTAAATAAATGTGAATACAGAATGTGTGGTAGACATCGAGTTGTCTTTTTCTTGGGTGCATTGTTAGTGGTTCTGTTGGTGGTTTTGGGGAGAATCATACAGAAATCTTGAAATACTTACTAATGACTTGGTGAAGTAACCACAGATAGATAATGTAAGTATGCAACATACTGATGATTGAATCCAGGTGATAAGTATACATATTTAATTGTATTATTCATTGATCCTTTTTTATGTTTGAATTTTTGCAATAAAAATTTGAAAAATAAAATAGATAAGACATTTTCGCTGGAAGGAAGTTTGCATTGGAGCTATATAAGAACAAAGACAAGGTAGTAATTGCAATGAGAAGGCTTTACTCTAAGGAAGGACAGGGCCTTCTGCAGGGCAAAGGTACTGTTCAGTGCTGGCGGTACAGACGGTCGGAGACCTGGAGACTGTGTGCTTTTGTTTTGCTGAGATTAGCTTGCAAGACCATAGACAGCTTCATCTGTCTCCAACTCAGATCCAATGGCAGAAACTAGTCTGAAGGTAAGACGTGTGACAGATGTTGGGAGTATGTCTATTGCCAAATACACTTAATTTGCACACTGTGGAATGCACTTTGCCTGTTATGTAAGATCTACATTGTACACTGCAGTAAGATTTAATTGTGTGCATCTACCACTGGTACTATCTTTAATGCAGATATTATTTTAGTAGTAATGGTAATAATTTCTCATTTCTGAGGGCTGCAGAGCCACACTACAAAAGAAAAGCAACTTCCCCCAATGAAGGTAATCATGTATTGCAAACATATGCTAAAATAAATAAATAAACGCAGGACAAAGATAATCTAATGTGGGAGTGAAATGTTAAAAATATCATCAGTGTAAACTCTACTTCAAGAGATTACATTTGTGGAATTTTACTTAAGTGGGATTGTGATCAGTTGGTCATTATAGTTCAGTAGATCTGACTAATCAATCTTGTGATCAAAGTAATTTTTCATAAAAAATCCCATCAGGTATGATATGAAGTTTTTTATGTGTTCAGATTAGTATCTGATTTGTTTTTTATTGCTATTTGCCTGTGTTTCATGACTTATATTTTTTAGAAATTTTAGCAATTTGGGATGCCTAATATCGTATTTCTATGACTGGGCAAAGCATTAGTTAATATTATTTTTACATAAATTTTATAATATTAGTCAATAATTTAACTAGAAGTTATAGAAATGTTTAAACAAAACTTTTCTATTCTGTGGAATAGAAGAAATTTAGTCTTCTTACTATCAGACTGAATAGAAAATAATAACTTGAAGGAAGATTTTAAATGCTAAGGAGTTCAGTCCATGTTTTGTTATCAAATAAGGCTGCAAAATTGAGAACTTTTATATAAGGATAATTACGTTACATCATGTGTTTGAGGATAGTAATTTTTCTCTTCTCTTGCCGTATGAAAATTTAGATTATACAAGAGTTATACTTCTATCGGCCATTTAAAAAAAAACAGACAAATGAGAAACTATTTACATCTCTTCTTACATAGAGCTGAAATGTTTCTTTAAAGCCCAAATAAAAAATTCCAAGCTAGTACTCCTAGTAATAAAATAATTAGGTGACATCATAGCCAGATCTTTCATTTCAAAACATCTCAACATTACAAAACAAATGTTTTAAATTGCCCTTTAGTTATGAAAGCTTATAACCTTATTTATAGAAATATGTCATTAATGATCCATTTCTGCACACAATGTAAAATGCTATTTCAAGAAGCCAGAGTATATACTCCAATTAAATTAACTAGGTGCTAAATAGTTCAAGCTTAAATTACTCAGGAAATTGTCATGATCCACCACAATTCAAATAGCTACACACCACTACTACTGCTTATCTTGAAATTAAATTTCAAGAACTTATAGATGGGAATTTTCTTTAAATGCTTTTTTATCAGTAAAGCATTTTATTTTTTTTCAGGAACTAGCTTTCAGGGTACAATTCAAAACCTCCATTTTCCAGCTAGTCAGTGTTACAGGACGTATATAAAATATTTACAAGGCCTATTTCATGCCACCAAACTGCTCTGGATGTTGAAAAGTGATGAGCTGCCTTCTTCCTATGCCAAAGCCACTGACTGCATTGAAGAAAAAGTTCCCAGAGATCTATTTATATTCCAGGTCCATAAATTATTACACAGAATGTTTACACCGTGACGTGCCACATGGAATCCTGATTCATTAGATTCACAAGTGGCTAAGAAAGTCACTTTGTCAGCCAGAAACACCCTGCATTATTGTTCCTCTTTCTTATGGACCATATTGTCATATGCACCTTCTAGATAGTGTTCCTTGTTGTTCAGGTACTAGCAAAATTTAACTTGATAATTCTGAGTTTGCAGAGAAGAAGAAAATTGGTATGATTGGAGTTGTTTTTCTATTTTTTCCAGAGTATTCTATTGTGGTCTAACCTAGAATACTATTTTGCTTTCTGATCTTTTATTTTTAAGTATAATAGCTCATCTCTAGACTAGCTATAATTTGTACTAGGAACCATTCAAGTCATCACTATTTCAGTTTGATTTACTAGTTTCATATGTGAAAATTATCTTAATATAAAATGACCTTCAATCCCTGCTTAAGTACATTCAGCTTTCTGTATCTATAGGTCAGGAAACTGCAAATTTGAACAAGTTTGAATTGAAAATATTCAGGGAAAAAACTGTATCTATACCGAATGTGCAGACATTTTTTTTTTTTTTTTTTGCATTTTCGTTGAATTACACAGAACAGCAATCATCCACAGAGCATTTATATTGCTTAGGTATTTACAAGTAATCTGGAGATGCCTTAATTACAACAGGGTACCAGTAGGCTATAAACAAATATTACACCATTTTATAAAGGGGACTTAAGCATCTATCTGTGGGGGGACGAGGGGCTAGAACCAAGCCCCTGGGGATACTGAGGGACCACTGTAGAAGAGAAGGAAGAAGGTCACCACATTTGTCACCTCACCTATCAGGGT